ACGTTTCGTTACACGTTTACTATCAGCTGTCGTAATAATTCATTATGTGACACACTCACCTGTATATGTATGTATATATATATATATACTTATATATATATATATATATATATATATATATATATATAATATAATCATATACATATATAATATACATATATATTACATATATATATTATAAAGATTGAGGTCATATATATAGGTATACATATATATCCATATATATAGTCATTAGTATAGTACGCGATATAATATACAGGGTATATATAGTCATATATAGTAGTGTATGTATATATGTTGTGTTGTTTATATATAGTAGTGTAGTAGTTTAGTATATGAGTATTGGTGGTATATATAGTATATATAGTAATATATATATATTATATTATATGCGTATATTATCTATGTATATATTTGTATATTCTTCTCTCTCTCTCTACTTGTTGCAGTTGTGCGGGTCTTCTCTGCTTCTCTTTCTCTGACGTCTCGGTGTTTGTTGGGTGGGTTTGTGTGGCTGGTGGTTTGGAGGGGGGTTAGCTGGTGGAGTGGTGTGGTGTTGGTGGGTGTGGTGGTTGTCTGGGTCCGGCGTTGGTTGTGGGTATCGTGTGGGCGTGTGCGGTCTGCGTTCGCGTCTGGTCGTCTCTGTCCGGTGCGCGTTCTCTCGTCCGTTTTTTGGTCTCTGCGCGTCCTCGTCGGTCTGTCGTTCTCTCTGCTCTTCTCCATACAGTTGCCCTCTCTTCTTCTCCTTCTCTTTATTCTCCGCTCTCTTTCTTCTCCCTCTCTTCTTCTGCTTCTGTTCGCTTCTCCTCTGCTTCGTTCTCGCGCTCTCTGCTTCTGCGGTGGTGCTGCGGTGGGAGTGGTGCCTCTGGCTTGATTTATGGCTGTCTTCTTTGTGCTGGCGGGTGTGGGTGGTTCGTGTTTCGGCCGGTTCGTGTGTCGTGTCGTGTGTGTGTGGTGTGTGCTGTCGTGTTTTCGTGCTGGGTTCGGTGGGTCTTCTCGTTTTCTGGTGTCGCGTGGCTTGTCTTGGCTCGTCGTGGTGTTGGTCTCGTCGGTACCTCTGCTGGGTCGTGCTGTTTCTCTGTGCTGGCTGCCTTTGTTGTTGCGTCGTGTCTGCGGATTGTGTAGTGCGCGTCGATGTTGGTTATTCGTTTCTTCATCCTCTTTAATTCTCTCTCTCCTCTTTTCTCCTCTGCTGTCTCGTCTGGGCTTGGTGGGTGTGCTGTGTTAGTGTGGGGGTGTGGTGCGTGTGATGTGCTCTTGTTGGTTTGGTGTATTTGGGGTGTGGTGTTTTCGTCGTCGTGTTGGTCGGTGCTGGTCGTGTTGTGTGTCTGCTGTGTGTTCGTTGGTGGTGGTGTTCTGGGTGGTCGGTGTGGGTGTGGTGCGTTCTCGTCTTTCTTCCTCTTCTCATCTCTCTCTTTTCTCTCCTCGTTGGTCTGTGGTCGTTCTGCGGTTGGGCGTTCGTGTTGTGTGTGTGTGTGGGTCGTTGTGTGGTTGTAGGTGGTGGTTGGTTGTGCGGGGGTGCGATGGGATTGGGTTGTCTGTTGTGTGTGGCGTGGTGTGTGGTGTTGGGTGCGCGTGGATGGGGGGTGTCGTTGCGCACTTCTCCTGCCTCGCTTCTCGTTCGGTCATGTTCGTTCTCTTTCTGCTCGTGCCAACGGCGGTTGGTGTGGCTTTGTTCTGCGTGCTCTGTTATCCGTCTCTAGTCCTCTCCGTCTCGTCTCCGTGCTGGGATGCGTCTCGTGTCGGGCGGTCTTGGGTTGCCTCTCTCTCGTTGCACGTACGCTCCCTCAGGGTGTCTCTCGCATCTTCTTCCTCTCTCTCATCCTCTCGCTGGCGGGTGGTTTGGTCTCTCTTCTCTCCTCGCGTCCAGTTCTCGGTGTGTGGCTCTCTGGGGTGGTTCGTCTCTCTCGTGGTTCTCTGGTCTCTCTGCCCGTGTTTTGCTCTCGGGTCTCTGTCGGTTCTCGTCTCTCGGTCTTGGCTCTCTCTATCTCTCGTCTTTTCTCTCTCTCCGTTGTGTCTTGGGTGTATGCTTCCTGTGGCTTCTGCGGGTGTTGGTGTGGCTTTTTCCTGCGCGTTGGACTGGTCTCTTTGTTCCTCTCTCGTCTTGCTTGTTGGTGTGTGTGGGTCCGTTTGGGGCGGGTGTTTTGTCATGGGGGCTTTTGTGGGTTGTCGCTTGGGTAGTAGGTTCTGTTGCTGGTGGGTGGTGCGTCCGGGTGTCGTGGGGTTTGGTCGGTGCGAGGTGTCTGTCGGTTATATCCTGCTTCGCTGTCTGATCTCACTCCCTCCGTCCCTCGTGTCTCTCTCTTCCTCTCTTTTCTCTCCTCTCTCAGATTCTCTACCTCCTCACTCCTCTCAGCTCGTCTGCTCTCTCGCTCTCTTCTCTCTCTCTGACTCTTCACTTTCTCTCTTCTCTTTTCGTCTTTCTCTCTCGTCTCCCTCATCTCGCTCTCTCTCTTCTCATCTCTCTCTCTCTCTCCTCGTCTCTTCTCTCTCTGGCCCACTTTTCTCTCGTCTTTCTTCTATTCTCTCTTTCTCCTCTGCAACCTGATCTTCGTCGATTCTTTCTTCTCGTTCCTCTTTCTATCTTTTCTCTCGTCTTGTCTCATTCTTCTTTCTCTTCTTGAAGTGTGTTAGGATGATGTAGAGCTCTTTCTCGCGTCTGTCTTTTCTTTCTCTCTCTTCTCTCGCTCTCTCTCTCTCTCCTTCTTCTCGCTCTCTCTCTCATCTCACTCTCTCTCATCTCGGTGCGCTCTTTGTGCTCCTTTCTGCGGGGCTCTGCTCTACTCATCTCTCTTTATATATAATATATATATAATATATAGTATATATTATATATATATATTATAATATATATAAATATATAAATAACAATATAAAAACACGTACATCTACATCGTTTGTATCAGATTATATGCTCCTACTTTGATACAATGTATATAATATATATATAATAATATATATATATATATATATATATATATATATATATATATATATTATATATATATATATATATATATATATATATATATATATGAAGATGGAATAATACACTGGCCGCTTATTTATATCATGAATATATTAACCTCTCCGATCGGGATACGATAATGTCCATGACGCTCGGTAGCGCCTCTGTGTGTGTGTGTGTGTGTGTGTGTGTGTGTGTGTGTGTGTGTGTGTGTGTGTGTGTGTGTGTGTGTGTGTGTGTGTGTGTGTGTGTGTGTGTGTGTGTGTGTGTGTGTGTGTGTGTGTGTGTGTGTGTGTGTGTGTGGTGTGTGTTGTGTTTGTTTTTGCCATATTCCATATGTCTGAGCCTCTTAGTAGAAAAGTAAGAAAAATATTCGTCATATATGCTTATTTTCATAATAATTTATTTACGTTTCATGGATAGAGACACGTGTCAGGTTATTTAAGTAAGAAAATGTTCATTATCCCATATTTATTTTTTTCTGTTTTTCACAAGTAATATTTTAGACTTATTTTTAATCATCCATGCGTCGAATAAATTACATTTTCTGCCGTAACAGTAGTAGGAAGAAAGATTGTAAGCACTTATATGCCTTGACAAGTGCTTGCAAATGCAGATGCAACACCCAGGCGCCGCAAAACTCTTATCAAAGACTTCTCCTTGAATCGACCACCTTTCCAGACTTTGTTAGCTAAATAATTCGATATTTAATGGAATTAGTTTATTCGATATAAGTTTTGATACAAATCATATATAATTCAGTTGCAACATTGCCACCCACGTCTCAGCTTGCAGCGAATCTAAATCTCTTACAGTTTTGGCTACGATAGGAACATGAGAATTTTTTTTATATCATAGTTTATACAGAATTATGCAAACATATATTATCTCGATTGGAAATCAACCATTAACAGTAAAATCCTCATCTGCATAAAATACACACCAGAGTCAAAATAAAGCAAGAACATTTATATATATATATATTCATATATTTCTTTGATAGAATCTATATCACCATAAACCTGTTTGAGGTACACCAAATCCAGACACAGCTTAAAGAGTACATATTATACGAATGGTCATCGTGTTGGCTACAAGTGCAGAAATTCACGTCTTATTCCTATCTCTTGTTTTCATAAAATTTTGCACATTGGACTTTTTTTTTGTATGTGTGTGTGTGGGTTAGTGGGGGTTTTGTATTTGACAAGGGTACAGAACTGTTTGTATGGTACACTTGATCATGGGACATAACCTTGCGGTATACAGGAGAGAGAGAGAGAGAAGTATGTTGTAGTTATAACAGAACCGTTTAATGTCCATCAAGTGTTTTTTTTCTCCTTTTTTGCGACACAGAATCGTGGAATGCTTTGAAAAGGGGATTCGTGTAATGCAAGTTTGAGAGTGACAGAATCTATAATATGCCTGTTCTCGTCCAACTGCATTCTCCTCCAGGAAGAAAGAAAACGGGATTCGGGGGTCTAACATAGAAAACGGGAGTCGGGGGTCTACCATAGAAAACGGATGTGTTCAGTATTGGCAGACTGTTCCAATGCCAAGAAAGCTTCAGGTTAAGTTCAATTTGTTCTTAGAGACGAAGGAAGAACGCCTCTACCGAACCACATTTAAAAAAAAAGAAATAACAACGATTTGATTATCGAGTTGTGTCAGTGAGTCGATTGGGGAAACGGGTCCCAGCCTCAATAGGGAGGGGGTAAGGGGGAGGAGAGTGGTAGGGGGGTAAGGAAGGAATGGAAGAATAACGTGAAAAGGGAGAAAGTGCCTGTGTTTCCGTGTGGGTCCTGGATGTACTGTAGTTCTTTAATTTCTTAGCAGGAGCTGCAAGCTTCTGGATTACTAAAAACTACCTTCATTATTATAGAATTTATTACATCAAGAGCAAGAATAAAAGAAATTTATTGAACAGAGTTATGGCCGCACACCACTGGTATATGTTTGTTAGGTTTATATATATATATATATATATATATATATATATATATATATATATATATATATATATATATATATATAGGTGTGTATGTGTGCCAAATGACTTTCGTGTTTACTCTCGGCCAAGTGGAAAAAAAGCACAGATAAGGTGTACGTACAGACATACACACATACAGATATGAATTTGTATTGTATGTATACTTGTATTTATCTATACAATTTTGTTATCAACAGCAGATGAGGTTTCTTTCAATAATCTTTGGCTATCATGTAAAAAATAGTCTTTAAACAGAGACAAAAAGAGTAGGGAAAGAACGCTTCAGTTCGGATTAATGATGCCTAACTTTGTATCCTTTTTGAACAGACATATCGTAGATGAGAGGAAATTCCGATCGTAGGCCAGTCAGCGGCGGAGGCGGCCACGCGGAGGGGCGGAGGGTCCTGGAGGAGCGGCAGCCGGGCGTCGACGCGGGGCAGCAACTCATCGCCGTCTCTTCATGGTCTCGAAGCCGCCCAGAGCGTCGGCGAAGGGGTCGGCCGCCTCCTCGGTCTCGGCAGCGCGCTTGGCCAGCGTTCGGGAGCGTCCTGGTGCCGGCGCCGCGCCCTCCTCGTCGCCCACGTACGTCACCGGGTAGTCGGCGATGAGCAGGTCGCCGCCGTCGGTGCCTCTGCGACTGCGGAGCTTGATGGAGGTTTCCACGGGAGGTTTCATCTCGACTTCCATGATGTCGCTCCCCTCGAGGTTCCTCTTCGGTCGCCCGTCTTGTTGCTGCGGGATCCTCAGCTCGAGAAGACCAGAGTCCATCGCCAGGCCCTGGGTGTTGGCGTCTGTCTCGGGACTTTCAGCGTAAAGGAGGTCTCCGGCTTGTCGCTTTCTTCTCGTTGACTTCTTGTCTTGTTCACTGGACTCGGTGGCCTGTGAGTCGTCGTCCGCGTCTTTCTTTTTCATGGTTGCAAAGTCTCCGAAGCCGTTGGAAAAAGTGTCGCCATAGAACCCACTGGAATCCATTTCCGGTCGCCGCTTCATGGTGTAGAAACTTCCGAAGCCGTTACTGAAGGTGTCGCCGTAGAAGCCGCTGGAGTCCATCTCCGGCCTCCTCTTCTTCATGGTGGAGAAGTCGCCAAAGCCCTGGCTGAAGGTGTCTCCGTGGAAGCCACTTGCGCCCATTCCCAGGCGGCGCTTCTTCATGGTGGAGAAGTCTCCGAAGCCCTGGCTGAAGGTGTCCCCGTGAAACCCGCTGGCTCCCATGCCGAGCCGCCGCTTCTTCATGGTCGAGAAGTCCCCAAAGCCTTGGCTGAAAGTGTCTCCGTAGAAACCGCTGGCGTCCATGCCCAGGCGCCGCTTCTTCATGGTAGAGAAATCACCGAACCCTTCGTTAAAGGTGTCTCCGTGGAACCCGCTGGCTCCCATACCAAGCCGTCGCTTCTTCATGGTTGAGAAATCTCCAAAGCCCTGGCTGAATGTATCCCCGTGGAATCCGCTGGCTCCCATGCCGAGACGACGCTTCTTCATGGTAGAGAAATCGCCAAAGCCTTGACTGAAAGTGTCGCCATGGAAACCGCTTGCTCCCATGCCCAACCGCCGCTTGGCCATGGCATAGTCATCATAGTTTCCGTCGCTAGATACCAAAGCCGAGTCCTTCTCTGCCGCTGCCGAGGGGTCGGCTTCTCTCTTGCCGCGCTTCTTGACGGGTGAGAAGTCGCCGAAGTTGTGCGTGAAGATTCCCTCGTGGAAGCCCTGCGCTCCCATCTCGTTTGGCGCTCTCTTCCAGTCGTTTGACGCCACGGAGAGCAGGTAGGGCGTGATGGACCGCTTGAAGCTGTGCATGTATTGGTTGGGCAGGTACATGTCCATGTAGGGATCCTGCTTCTTGATTTCGGCGTTGAAGAAGTGCTGGGGGTAGTAGATCTCCCCGAATTCCTCGTCTTTTCTGGGCCCGCTGGGAATCTCCTGGTATACCGAGGGGTAGTCGCTGCTCCGCTTGACTGTCTTCTTGGCATAGACCGCCATGGGGTCGTAGCCTGTGCTCTGAAGGTAGGCATCGTAGTCACTCCTCTTCCCCCAGGCAGCTGTAGGGTTGTAGTTAAGGGTCTGCATGTATGACTGGAAGCCGTCATTCCTCTTGAGCTGTCTCTTGCCGAAGGCCATCGTGGGGTCGTACGCGAGACTCTGCATGTAAGCCTCGTAGCCGGGGTCGTAGCCGTTCCTCTTCGCCCAAGCGTTCATGGGGTTATAGCCCATAGCCGCCATGTAGCCGTCGGGGATCTCGGTGGATCGCTTGACCACCGTCTTGGTCGGGGCGTCGGGGTAGTCGATGCTGGCGGCCGCTGCGTCGCTGACCTCGTCCGCGGGAGACCGCTTGAAGCCCTCGGGGAACACTCTGGACAGGATGCCTCCGGCCGACGGCGTGTCTGCAAATCGGGATGGATGTTAGGGGGGCCGAAACAGATGCACCGGGGATAGAAAGGATGGCATAACTATAGTGGAAGACATGGTGATGGAGATAGTGATTATAGCGACTATTTTTAATAACTATGATAATGGGGACTATGGTAGTATCCGTTATGGTAATGATAATAAT